TAAAATCATATTGTAGGAGAAGTGCAGTGCACAACAATGATGATTTCTACCCTACATAATTTTTCAGTTATTGCCCTTTGTTATTTTTCAAACTTAATTTTTGTCCAGAGCATAACTCAAAAAGCCTTTAAGATGGATAGGAATCTAACTTAGGAAGGTGTGCAGTGCAAAAAAGTGATAACTCTACCCTTAATAATACGTTTTGAGTAATTGCCCTTTGTAATTGTTGCATAATTTATTTTTCTAACCTGAGACTGGAGCATAACTAAAAAAAATCTTTAAGATGTCAACATGAACTTCATTGGTGGATTGATCTTATAATGAGGAGGAAGTTGTGCGAAAGAATGATAACTGTACCGATTATAATTTTTTTAGTTATTGACATTTGTTATTTTTCATACTTTTTGTCCGGAGTCATATCTCAAAAAGTGTTAGAGGTAGATCTTACTCAGGAGGTGATAAACTCTACCCTTCATATTTTATGAGTTATTGCCCTTTGTTATTTTTCATACTAAATTTTTTTCACCTGAGTGGTCCAGCATATCTCAAAAAGTGTAAGAGTACCACCTTGAAACTTCATAGGTGGATAGACCTCATTGAGGAGGAGTGCTGCACACAAGAGTGATAACTGAGCGTGCATTATTTTTCAGTTATTGCCCTTTGTTATTTTTCATACTAAATTTTTGCAGAGTATAACTACAAAAGCTTTGAGATATCAACATGAAAACTTCATATATAGAAAGATCTCACTCAGGAGGTGTTCAGTGCATAAGGGTGATAACTCTACCCTTCATAATTTTTGAGTTATTGCCCTTTTTTATTTTTCATAATAAATTTTTCACCTGAGTAGAGCATATCTCTAAAAAAAGCTTTTGAAATCAATATGAAACTTTATAGGTGGATATATCTTATTAAGGAGGAATGTTGTGCACAAGAATGTTAACTCTACCCTTTATAATTTTTGAGTTATTGACATTTTTTATTTTTCATACTTTTGTCCGGAGCTTATCTCAAAAGTGTTAGAGGGAATAACTTGAAACTTCATAGGTGGATAGATCTCATTGAGGAGGATTGCAGGACGCAAGAATGATAACCTACCGTGCATTGTTTTTCAGTTATTGCCCTTTGTTATTTTTCATACTTAATTTTTGTCCCAGAGTATAACTACAAAGGCCTTTGAGATATAACATGAACCATCAAAGGTGGATAGATCTTACTCAGGAGGTGATAACTCTACCCTTCATATTTTTTGAGTTATTGCCCTTTGTTATTTTTCATACTAAATTTTTTCACCTGAGTGAAGTATATTTCTAAAAAAAGCTTGTGAAATGTCAACATGAAACTTCATAGGTGATAGATCTTATTAAGGAGGAATGTTGTGCACAAAAATGATAACTTTACCCATTATAATTTTTGAGTTATAGCCCTCTGTTTTTTTTCATACTTTTTGTCCGGACTCATTTCAAAAATTGTTATAGGTTACAACTTCATAACTACAAAAGCCATTGAAATATCAACATGAAACTTCATAGGTAGATAGATCTCACTCAGGAGGGGTGCAGTGCAAAAGAGATGATGACTCTATCCTTCAATAGTTTTTGAGTAATTGCCCTTTGTACTTTTACTGCCCCGCTTCGAAGAAGAGGGGGTATATTAATGTTTTGCTAATGTCGGTCTGTCTGTCGGTCGGTCTGTCTGTCTGTCGGTTTGTCGGTCTGTCCGTCGGTAGACCAACATGGTTTCCGCTGATTATCTTGAAAAGTGTTTATCACAAAGTCTTCATATTTCACATAGTGATTGGTCTTAACTAGTAGATGACCCCTATTGATTTTGGGGTCATTAGGTCAAAGGTCAAGGTCACAGGGGCCTTAATGTTAAAATGGTTTCCGCTGATTATCTTGAAAAGTATGTATCACAAAGTCTTCATATTTCACATAGTGATTGGTCTTCACTAGTAGATGACCCCTATTGATTTTGGGGTCACTAGGTCAAAGGTCAAGGTCACAGGGACCTTAAATGTCAAAATGGTTTCCGCTGATTATCTTGAAAAGTATGTATCACAAAGTCTTCATATTTCACATAGTGATTGGTCTTCACTAGTAGATGACCCTATAGATTTTGGGGTCACTGGGTCAAAGGTCAAGGTCACAGGGACCTTAAATGTCAAAATGGTTTCCGCTGATTATCTTGAAAAGTATGTATCACAAAGTCTTCATATTTCACATAGTGATTGGTCATCACAAGTAAATGACCCCTATTGATTTTGGGATTACTAGGTCAAAGGTCAAAGGTCACAGGGGCCTTAAATGTCAAAATGATTTCCGCTGATTATCTTGAAAAGTATGTATCACAAAGTCTTCATATTTCACACAAAGATTGGTCATCACTAGTAGATGACCCCTTTTGATTTTGGGTGTCACTAGGTCAAAGGTCAAGGTCACATGGGCCTTAAATGTCAAAATGGTTTCCTCTGATTATTTGAAAAGTATGTTTCACAAAGTCTTCATATTTCACATAGTGATTGGTGATCGCTAGTAGATGACCCTTATTGATTTTGGGTCAATAGGTGAAAGGTCAAGGTCAACAGGGGCCTTAAATGTCAAAATGGTTTTCCGCTGATTATCTTAAAAAATGTATATCACAAAAGTCTTCATATTTCACATAGTGATTGGTCATAACTAGTAGATGACCCTTATTGATTTTGGGGTCACTAGGTCAAAGGTCAAGGTCACAGGGGCCTTTAGTGTCAAAATGGCTTTCGTTGATTTTTCCATAATTGAACACTTCCATGTACCCATTTTTGGCAAGTTTCTGTAATAAAATTACCAATTATGTGAGTCAATGGCTAGAAAGGGGGGTATATGTGTCGTTCGACATTCTTGTTCATACTTAATTTTTCACCTGAGTGGAGCATAGCTCAAAAGGTCTTTGAGATGTCAACATGAAATTTCATTGGTGGATTGATCTTATTGAGGAGGAATGTTGTGCGCAAGAATGATACCCTTTATAATTTTTGAGTTATTGCCCTTTGTTATTTTTCAAACTTTTTGTCCGGAGCTTATCTCAAACAGTGTTAGAGGTATTAACGTGAAACTTCATAGGTGGATAAATCTCATTGAGGAGGAGTGCGGCACACACCTACCGTGCATTATTTTTCAGGTATTGCCCTTTGTTACTTTTCATACTTAATTTCGTCCAGAGCATAACTACAAAAGCCTTTGAGATATCAACATGAAACTTCATATGTGGATAGATTTCACTCAAGAGGTATGCAGTACACAAGAATGATAAATTATTTTGCTCTACTACATATGCATGGCTCTTGTAACAAGTTACATTACAATACTTAAAAACCTTCTTAACAAGTTAACCTGTCAATTAAACTCAATGCTATTTGGAGATACCTTAACATTATACTTAACTGTTTTTTTTGTATTTTTTCTTTTTTTTCGGCGTGACAATCACATTGCTGCATTTCCCAGCAATTTTTTACTTGTAGTTTTAGAGTTATGTCCTGGACAAGAAAATCGGACGGATGGACATACGGACGGACGGACGGACAAAGAGGCGACTATATGCTCCTTCAGGGAGCATAAAAATCAAACTACAGGCAAATACATGTATGTGAACAGCTTAGAAAAAAACAAACTAAAGACAAATAAGTGAAGATCTTTAGAAACATATTTTGGTACTTCAGTCCTTTTAAGACATTTAAACACGTTTACTTTACAAGTTTTTACCTGTCGCTTAACTGGACTTATCAATCGTAACAAAGGAAAATCAATATTGACTACAAGGAAAAATAATGGCCGTGAAGTACGCGGGGTAACGGGCTAGCAGTCTAGCGGGCTAACAGTGTGAACTGAGCGGGCTAGCAGTCTAGCGGGCTAACAGTGTGAACTGGGCGGGCTAGCAGTCTAGCGGGCTAACAGTGTGAACTGGGCGGGCTAGCAGTCTAGCGGTCTAGCAGTGTGAACTGGGCGGGCTGGCGGGCCAGCGGGCTAAACTCTAAAACTTAACTGATTCAACATGAAAACGTTATGATACATATCCTAGCAGTGTGAAGTGGGCGGGCTAACAGTGTAGCGGGCTAGCAGTGTGAACTGAGCGGGCTGGCGGGCCAGCGGGCTAAACTTTAATACTTAATGGAATGAACAAGAAAACGTTATGATACATTTCCTAGCGGTGTGAAGTGGGCGGGCTAACATTGTAGCGGGATAGCAGTGTGAAGCGGGATGGCGGGTCAGCGGGCTAAACTTTAATACTTAATTGAATCAACATGAAAACGTTATGAAACATTTCCTAGCGGGCTAACAGTGTAGCGGGCTAGCATTGTGAAATGGGCGGACGGGCGGGTCAGCGGGCTAAACTTTAATACTTAATTGAATCAACATTTAAACCTCATGATACATTTCCTAGCAGTGTGAAGTAGGTGGGCTAACAGTGTAGCGGGATAGCAGTGTGAACTGAGCGGGATGGCGCGTCAGCGGGCTAAACTTTATTACTTAATTCAATCCACATTAAAACCTCATGATACATTTCCTAGCAGTGTTTAGTGGGCGGGCTGACAGTGAAGCGGGCTAGCAGTGTGAACTTGGCGGGCTGGCGGGCCAGTGGGCTTAATTGTAAAACTTAACTGATTCAACATGAAAACGTTATGATACATTTCCTAGCAGTGTAAGCTCCGTGAGCTAACAGTGTAGCGGGCTAGCGGTACAAATTCAGCGTGCTAGCAGTCTAGTGGTCTAAATTCCATACTAAATTATTTTAACACTAAAACGTTATGATGCATTTGCTGGCAGTGTGAACTCGGCGGGCTAACAATGCTTGTTTCATATGGTATACACGATCCTTGAGAATTGTCACAAATATGTACACTAAATGTTTTAAAATCAGAATTGATATTCAAATGATGTGTTATATACAGAAAAAACGACAATTTTAACTGAAACAGAAAAAAAAACACTTTGTAAACAATTTGTAACATAACACCCAAAACATGAATAAATAAATAAGATTTTAATAAATAAATGTTATAGCAGTTTTGATAGCCTTAATGAGCTTGTAATATTTTTTCTTCTAAATTTCTAACAAAATACACCAAGATATGTATTATCAGCCGTGCACATGGCTGTCTACCAGTTTATTGGCACCGCCTTCAAATGCTACGTGACTGATTGTCAACAATGCGGAAGTCAATGTCAGCTTCATAAATCACCGGGTCATGATAAAGACATTCAACTGTTAGCAATAATTCCGACGACGACGAAAGACAGTACTAGAAGAATTCCACCTAGTATTATCAACACTATAAAAGGTATATTCTGAAAATAAAAAAAGGATACGATTTAAAATATTATGTATGATAAAAATGTTTCAATTTCATACCCTCAGGGTGATAATTAAATGCTATAAAATGAGATAAAGCGTTAATCACCTTTCTATCACTGCTTATACACGTGATTCGTGTACTGAAAATCAATGCTTATTTAAACTAAATTTCTTCTGTTGCATAGAGAAGCAACTCAAATTAAAAACAAAACAACAAAGAACAAATGAATATCGATTACATGCCCTTTAATTATTTACTGAGGTAACCGGATATCCGCCAGTAGATGCATATGTTGTTAATTTTCAATAATGTCGGCTTACCGTTTTGACATTAATGGTGAATAATAGAACACAGACTCATGATATTTTGTATACGAATGCAACCCGGCCATTTCTGCCTTTGTCCCATTTTTTGTTTATTTACTTTCATGTATGGGATCACAAGTTTTCACAAGCTTTTTCTTCTCTTATATTTATTAATGACCCAAGGCAATTGTAGCTGATTGCCAATGTATTGAAACTGCAAATATTTAAATAAGATTACATCTACAATTTATTTCATTTAATTTAAAATATTCACTGCGTCTAACAAACATTTGAAAGTTTACTAACACCTAACTATACATTTAGAAAACGATTTACGTCTACAGTTTTAGTAAATATTAAAGTGTTTCAATATGCCAATCTATAACCCATTTGATTGTTATAAATGAAATCATATATAACATTGTTGAAAAGTGTGAAATAATATCTATTTGTCTTCCATGTTGGCTATTGGCTTACCTGTGGAATGACAGATTATCTTTGTCACCTTTTAAACCCCTTAATTTTAAGGGGTGTTAGAGGTGGCTTGCTTTATTCTCCTTGAGTACAAGGAGACATTTGTGATGCGTGTATGTGGTCGCACGGTCACTTCCAACAAATCGTCCTTGATGCGTGTATGTGGTCGCACGGTCAAAATCATTTTTTCTCTTCTCTTTATCACATTTCACTTGATTACCTTACTATCTTCTCACTTAACATTATTCACTGATTACTACTTTTATTTGACTATTGCCCTCATAACATAAATTCACTCACTCACTGTGAAATCATTCTTCTCTACTAGCTCTGAAAACATTACTCACTGTAAACTCATTAATCACTACTCGCTCTATGAAAATTAATCTCTGTGAACTCATTAATCACTACTTACTCTACGAACAAACATTTCTCACTTTCTACTCACTTCTCGCTCTATGAACATTACCCGCTGTGAACTTATTATTTACTACTTGCTCTATGAACATTACCCGCTGTGAACTTATTATTCACGACTCGCTCTGTTAACATTACCCACTGTGAATGCATTAATCACTACTCTCTCCATGAACATTACCCACTGTGAACTTATAATTCACTACTCGCTCTATGAACGTTACCCACTGTGAACGCATTAATCACTACTCACTCCATGAACATTACCGACTGTGAACTCATTAGTTACTCCTCGCTCTATGAACATTACTGACTTTGAACTCATTAATCACCACTTCCTCTAAGAACATTACTCAATGTGAGCTCATTCTTCACTTCTTGTTCATGAACATTACTCACTGTGAACTCATTAATCACTTCTTACTCTATGAACATTACTCACTGTGAACTTACCATTTCTGACTGTGAACTCATTAATCATTATTCACTCTATGAACATTACCCACTGTGAACTCATGAATCACTTCTCACTCTATGAACATTAATAACTATAAACCTAACATTTCTCACTGTGAGCTCATTAATCACTACTCGCCTTATGAACAGTACTCACTATGAACTAATGACTAACTACTCCCTCAATAAACATTACTCACTGCGAACTGAACAACTGAAAATAGTGCAGGCTCGGTTTGATTGAGCCTGTTCGTGGCCGGTACTGGAAAGTACAAGTTACCGTGTACGCCCCCCAGCACCGCTTAAGCAGTATACTCGTAAACTCAGTTGAGATAATAGGTGAAAATTTCTCACTCCTTGAACACAACTCATTGACTACTACTCACATCTTAAACAATATTCTCTATGAACCACTTACAGTATACATACTACTAACCGAGTACTTTTTGCTTACTTAGCAATACTAAATCTTAGCAAATCCTGCATTTTCTTAAGCATTTTACAAGAATCAAAATATCATAAGAACAGATAAAAAGATGAAAAGAAACTCAGGGAATAAAAGAAAAAGGGAGCAAAAGGCAGAAGCCATATTTCAGAAATCATGTAGTATTCAACAGCGTTATATAACTTTCACACGGTACAAAGTTGTCGTGTCTATTTAAGGACTTTCTGCAATCTTAAGCACTTTAAGTCGCACCGGCACGGTAAAGACACTTAGCGGTAAGCATTTGGTTTAAACATATTTATTTAAAGCTCGATTGTGAGACAAGTACTTGTAACTTATATTAATCACTTTCGAGAACCAACCAGTACTGGTGTCAGATGAAGCAACATGGTCGTGACCCGATTAGGGCTCGAACCTATGATCTCTGGGTTGAGAGGCAGACATCGTAACAACTAGGCCATCGCTTCATGGTAAGCATTTACAAAGTGATTATGTGATTTTCAATTCGATATATGGATTACTTACATATATTAAGTCACGATGAATTGTTTTTAGCTAGAATATTTGTTTGAAAGTATCAACATGCATGTACTGACGGATATTACCTCCCCTTCTGACGGATATTACCTCCCCTTACACTATAACCATACGGAAACAATCACATATAACTCTTGAAGTGGTTTAAACATTGACCTGTATTTTATCGTGTTAAAATAGATTTGTTACACTAAAATATACCTTATTTGTACAGATTCCTTTCTTCTTCAAGTCAGAGTTCACCCCCTTACCTACAATAAAACAATATCTAGAAAACTTCATTTTTTTTCGAATGAATATTCATACAGTTTAGCATTTTACTTAATTATTAATTTTCAAGCTTTGGAAAGTCTTGAATGACTCCTGGCATGTGTTTTATTGACATTAAAAGTTGTTGCGGCGGTTGTAGTTGTTGTTGTTTTCATAGTCTTACGAACATGTCTTGAATCATACCAAACATTTGAGTGGTATGAAAACATTTTTTTGCCATTGCTAGATTTAGAAGGCGTGGCAATGAAAATTTACAAACACCATTTTAATTCATAGCAATCAAGGTTGTTTAGAATCTATTGAAATACAAACAAATATTCTATCGATTACCCATTATAGTTTCATCCATTAGTTCATTCATTCTCTTATAAACAAATTATTGATACATGTATATGCCTACAAAATAAGAATATTATATATTGCTTATCAAAGTTATTAATTTGTCAAAATTTTACATATTTAAAGATAATCCAGTCTCACCGTTTGATATTCTGTTGAGAATTTCCAGGCCACAGCAGACGATAATTACTATGACCACGTGCACAATTGTTACATAGGTGGCGCTGTTCGGCACCATAGAACGCTCGAGATAATAACCAAGAAATATGTTCACAACTGTAATTTAAAATCCATAACACTTGTTAATGATGATCTTATTACAAAAGGGGCGTGGTCATCATTTGAAAATACATATTTCTATATTTTTATATATAACATGCCATATACAAATATGTAGAAACATTTAATAAATCTTAGAATAAAACTCTACAGATTTCCTTCTTACAATCGTTCTGTTGTTAATAAAGAGGATACTTATTGCACATTACTGCCGATACATCCCTTAAAACATAGTAGATAAGTCTATACGAGAAAAAAGTACAAAACATTAACATGTTAAGGAATGATGACCGCCGACTGGTATGACGCCAGGCAGAAAACCAAAAGTTATGTAGACTTTCATCATTTTTAATTTCTTATTACACATTTAAAACAATTGAATCTTTATATTTACATATATCTTATATATCTAATAATTCACACTCTTGGTAACCATGGCTATTTACCACTATAAGTTAATAGATAAAACGAAATATATACGGAATTTGCACCGTTCGGACAATAGCCCTAGTGATATTCGGTGAGCGATCTACAAAACTATATAGTGCTTTCAGTTCTTTGATTTCTATATGTATTTTTTATCTTAAAACATGTGTGATTTTCTTTTACTTGGCTGTAAGCTAGTTTTTTCACACATTCAAATATTTACAATAAAAAGAACAGAAAGAATCTACAAACACCACATAATGTGATATAACTCTAATAAACAAATTAAGCTTATCATAAAAGTTTACCTGCTAAAAGAAGACCAATTGCCCCTACAAATAAATGAGCCCAGTAAAAAATCCATCGAAATTTGTGATCACTGTCTGGCCGGAACAATGCCATTATTGGCTAAAAACAAAATAAAACAATTTTAGCAATATGTTTCAAAATATTTGCACCATTCATTTTTACTTCATTCGTTCCATTATATATATCTTTATTTCGGTTATTAACTAGTCTAAGGACCTATCCTCGTTTGTTTTGTTGTTGTCTTTTTAAAGGGTACAGGGAATCCCTGTTACACAAATTTTCCTCCATTTGTTTCTACATATGTATTAAATCTAAATGATTATAAGCATTTATTTTGATGTTGATATATTAACGGACAGCAAAACAGAAAAAAAACAATATCATGGCTTTGTGTGTAAAATGTAAATTGTGAAAAAAAAAGCCTGATGAAAAAAATATTTACAATTTTCCTGCTAACACCATAGGCCATATTAATTACCCATTAGATTTATTATAAATGATATACAAAAATAATTGAATTATACCAAGGAATAGAATAACTTAATCTTACGTTAAGAACCATCAAAACGGTGGCAATTATCCCGAGGACAGGATGTGCCTGCACAGCTGACGCCGCGTCCGTGGAAACAACCTGTATAAATTTTAAATATGAATAATTGAATAATGCTTACTTAAATCATCTTCATCTACCAAAAGATCGTTAAAACGCGACTATATTTGCCAAATAACATGGTAACTGTTTCTGCAATCGTTTTAGATGCAATGATTTTTTTTGACTCATGATCACAGCGATGCTTAACTATCTATAAAATCAATAATCACTTTGAGAGCAATGAGTTTTGTGTGCTTAGCCAACAGGACGCTCATTTGATATCTGTAAGTACAATTTTTTTCATTCAAAAAAAAAGTATAATGATAATTTTTCACACTTTTTGTGTGCTCTTTACCCATTATCATCTTAGTTCTAAATGTCAAATGTCGGTAGTTACGAAGTTTAACAATATTTGCAATTCGCCTTCTTTGAGATGGCGGTATTTTTCCAACTGAGCATGTAGGAACTAAGCGAACTGTCAACCAATCGTCTTTAACAGATGCGTTGAGTATACATATTTTCAAAAAAAGAAAAAGGCGGGAAAATCTCCAAAATGTCAAACAAGATTGCAATCTCCTATGCAGTGATCTCCCCTTATCAGTAAAGAGATACAATCTGCGAAGGGAGGAAATCACTGTGAGGAGTTTGACAGTATTGATCTGAGGTAATATCATGAACCCCCTGTTTTCTTGTAGCAACAGAATCTAACCATGTCACTAGTACAGACCAAGATTAGTCTATTCAGTCAGTACATAAACTGAAATTTCCTGAAAATTGATAAATAGATTTGACAAGAGTCCATTTAAGAAGACATAATCTAACCTACCTGACTGTATCCGTCTATTTCTACAAATATTGATATAAACCCAACTACAACTAACATTAGTGCCACTATCATGGCTCCTCGGTGGACCTGAAAAAATCAAAAACAAATAAGTTACTACATGTATATACAGTATCAAGAACGCTACAGATTCGCCAATTTTAAGTATGCCATATCAATCACTGTGTTGAATATGTTTTTCCAAATGGTTATTAGAAATTTGTTTAAAATATTGCAAACAACCTGGCTAATGATTTTAGACATTTGGATATGACGTCCAATTTGCCCAGCCAATGGCAAGAGAGTATAGTAAAATAATAAAACAAAATAAAATAAAAAAAAAAGAAAGAAAAAAGACTGGTTTGGCTCTGACCTGCCAAGTTAACCTTTTTCATCACATCTGTATAATTACGGGTTATTCGTTCGATCTGTTGAATAATCTCTCAATGAATTTATTGGAAAAACAAAGGCAATATTATTCTTGTTCCATTAATGAATGCGTTACTTGGCCAAACTGACCGATTCATGGACATGTGATGATTATAACCTCAAAATTTAATCATGACGAAAAATCAAGGTTGCATGATTTTTAAACAATCAAAGATACACTTAACCTTCATGCTATTGTGTAATTTGATTTTATCACGATAACAAAAAAAAACAAAACAAAAACAATTTCAATATAAGAAATAATGATTTTACAAAAGAAGGCACAATCAAATTTCTATACCTGAAACCAAATTTTCATCCCGAAAAGTTTTTTCTCTTCAAGCATATTTTTGTTGTATCTTGCTGTCACTATGCCAACCGTTACCAATAGCAACCAAGCAAGAACCATCACTGTACCTTTGTAAATGATTATAAATATATCAGCAAAGTATTTTCATATCTTTAATTTATACTCGCGAAAACTGATGCCAAATGAATTCCCGCGATTTAACTATTGAAATAAAAGAGATATACTGCAGTTGATATTAATGTTTTACCTAGTAAATATCAGGTAATCATTAACACTAACAAGTGTTGTTTTTTACACGGTATATTCCTTTAATTCTATCTTACTTTATCGAGTACAGTCAACGTCATATAGGAAAATTCTGGTATTGCTCCCATAGTTTATATTCCTGCATAATTTCAAATACGAGCAGGACATTTAGTACACGTGCCAGACAAAATTCCAATCGGATTTCCAATATTTTCATCCGAAGTTTGACGGAAAGGGCCGAAATATTGTGACTGCAAATTTGCATTATGCAAGTACTTAGGCATTTCCCCCCTGACCTGTAAAGTTAACCATTTTCACCTATAAATTTATTTTCTACCTAAGACTTATACCTGAAGAATGTGACTGATTTATTTCAATTAAAAAGTAACAAGAATATTCTTGTTATATGTTCATGTTTAGACCAGCTTACCGTGCAACTTGATGATGGGCGTGTTAAGTTTGTGTAAGTTCACAATATAATGTCTGTTAAAGTCCACCAAACCATCGCTACTCCAAGGTATTTTCTCATGCTTGTCCAGTTCAGTTTTGCCTATATCATATGACATACAGTCATGACATACAAAAATTATAACATACAACTGTCAACACATACAACAGTCATGACATACAACAATCAGGACATACAACTGTCAAGACATACAACAGTCATGACATACAACAGTCATGACATAACAATTATGACATACAACAGTCATGACATACAACAGTCATGACATACAACAATCATGACATACAACAGTCATGACATACAACAGCCATGACATACAACAGTCATGACATACAACAGTGATGACATACAACAATCATGACATACAACAATCATGACAGACAACTGTCATGACATACAACAGTCATGGCATACAACAATAACTGCATATAACAGACATGATATACAACAATCATGCCATACAACAGTCATGACATACAAATCTATGACATTCAACAGTCATGGCAAACAACAATCTTGCCATACAACAGTTATGACAATGTCATACAACAATCTTGCCATACAACAGTTATGACAATGCCATACAACAATCAGGTCATACAACAGCCATGAATATAATTATCTACGTCATTATACTTTAAACATAAAGGTAGGACAGTATAATAAGCACAATGAGGTCAGCGATATGTCATCGAAACCCAGATTCGAGAGTTCAAATCCTGGAAGCGGCCTTTTTTACTTGACAATTTTGTATGTAAGTCTGATATCACACGTTCTCGTCTGCTGTTTTAAATGACAAATATAACGGAATTTACATTTTTATAATGAGAATACTTATTAAACAGGATCGTATATTGGTTTGAACAAAGTTTCTAAAGTTAAATTTGGAGAAAAAAATTCTTGTACCTTATACTGAGCATTTTCGAGCACGTTTCCTTGGACAATCAATCAATCAATCAATCAATCAATCAATCAATCAATCAATCAATCAATCAATCAATCAATCAATCAATCAATCAAACAAACAAACAAACAAACAATCAATCAAACAAACAAACAAACAGACAATCAATCAATGAACGAACGAACAAACCAACCGTCCGTCCGTCCGTCCGGGCAAACATCCAATGGTCTATGAGCTTCATTCCGTCCATAATTTTTGTTTTGTTAAGAAAAGAAGGGAATCCCATAAACTGACTGGTTAATGTGGTAATTTTACTGGTTTATGGGGAAAAATGCCACACGAAGATCAAAGAAAAAGCACATATCCCCAATTGTTCGTCCGTCCGTCCGTCCGTCCGTCCGTCCGTCCATCCATCCACCAATCACATACCTTTTTTCTGCTTTACCTTCCCAACTACAAGCATTAAAATGTAATCATTGTTCAGGTCGAAAAAGTTGGTGTCTGCTGCACTGAGCTTCCTCGTGAATGAACACGTGATCACACCGTTTGACTGGTTTACAGATGCGCCACTTAAACCTAAGCTGGGCTGAAAAAACCAACAACAAAAAGATAACAAAATATTAATTCATTAAAAACATATGAAAATGTATCCAGAATACTTATAGTTCATCAAAATCATTGATAATAATAATTGATTTCTTTTAAAATTAGCGTGTTTTTTTTTTGTTGAAAAAAAAAAAGTCTTTAGTTTTTTCCTACAAGTTGCAATTTTCTAGCTTTACTGGTTCTGACCATCCGTGCATAATTTACGATACGCTCGGACATCCGATTAGAATCTCAATGCATTTTATAAGCTAATTAGATAGCTGTTTTACATATAAGAGTCCAGAGTCCAAGGCGGGATTCGAGCCAACAGCGTTAATGGTCAAGTGATTATAAGTCAGGAGCTTCGTCAAACATTCTAAGGATTAAAAATGCTACGAAAAATGGTTTTACTGAAGATAGGAGTTCAGTGTTGGTGTCCTTGTTGTAATAGGAGGAGACCGTAGAACTTGGCATCACACATCCGACAACGCTATCTTCTCCCTGAAAGTAAATTAACTATATGTTCGTAAAACATCGGCAGATTCCGTTACTATCCGTAACTCAAAGCAAAAAATGCGAACAGAAATAAATGTTTAAAGCGTTTTGAATTGATCTAGAAATTTTGCACTCTTTGTATACATTTATTTAGCCTATAATTGAGAAAGTAAATATTTAATTATTACATTTAATAAAAATCATTGAAAATAAAAAGATACCGTTTATAACAGTAAAAAATAAAAAAGTTTACCATACGATAGTCATTGGAGAACCCTATAGCTACATACACGCTGGTTCCCGTCTCTTCCACTTGCAGTGTAAACTGAATACTGGAAGCAGAAGTTTGCCACGTGACTAGGTACCCGCAACCATTCGGACAATTAGGAAAACATCCTTTTGTATTTCCGCATGCAGCGTCCCAGTTAATAAGTGACGTCACAACCTATGTTAATATGACTTACATAGTAACTAAACACAGACACACAGACACTGAAGTAATCTTAGACAGACTATGAGTCTAATAAAGAATTAAACAAATCATTAGAACTGAAAAGG